CCGGAAACGGGCTTCCTGGAGCGAGGAGGTGTGGAATTCGGCCGCTGGACACGGCCATCTCCCAGTGGGAACGCAGAGTGGACGGAAGAAGAGTTGGAAGCGGAGTACGGCGAGCACCTCCGTAACTTAGAGAAAGTTCTTCTGGAACTTCGCCAGGAGCAGGCAGAGCAAGCGGAGGAGCGACGCTGCCAGTCGCGGCTCGCCGCCCTCAAGCAGAAGAAAAAGGAGGAGGCCGCAGCGGCTGCAGCTGCTGCGCGAAATCGTTTCCCCTGGAGCATGGGGAAGTGGATGAGGCAGGAGAAGGCCGAGGCCCCCGCGCCAAAGGTGTCTGTGGTGTCCGGCTACAGAAACTTCTCGCAATATGCAGCGGTCTGTCGTAAGTACACAGCGCTTGCCGTTTGAAGTGAGTGCTCCGCCATGAAGCTTGCAAGTGTGACATGGTGATGGTCGTCGAGATTAGGGCACATGTGTATCAGTGCAGCAGTCGGCATCACCAGCGGTTTTCCACATTGCAAGCAGTCCACTCAGGAACATCCACTGGCCAACAATGAAAAAGACTTTCGAGCTCGCACAGGGATTCGTTGTTTTTGTTTGGGGGTCCTTTCAACAAGGATCCCACGTAGGGTGCCTTTTGTCTGGGGCTCCTTTCCATAAGGATCCTCTGCTTAGGGCCATGTATTGGGGGTCCCTCCTGCATTTGACTGCATGAGGCCGAGCATTCAATGGCTCCGGAAAGCCCATCGACAAGGGGTGGCTCGGCTTGTGGTGGAATTTAGGTTTAGGGTTCAGGGTTTCCAGATGGCTGCGGAATCGCAGAATTCGTAACAACACTGCTCATGGGACAACCACTATCGCATGAGCGTGCTGTCGGTTTTGGAGGTGTCACACCCACACCTGTAAATCCAAGTCCTCCAACCGGTCGCCTCCACAGCTCAGCCGAGTTACCTATGCAGTGTGAGCCTCTGAACTGTAGCTTTGGGCCCTACTGTCGAAGGTCCCGAAGTTCGAAGAATGGTATGCAGGATTTGTTGTACTCTGGGTCGTAGTCGCAGTCCGGTTGAGCTCCAAGGAGCTCGAAGTTGCAGAGCACCGAAGCTGCATGTAAAGAGTAGTCATGTAATAGCAAACAGTAGTAGCAATAGAACTAGTCATAGTCATAGTCATTGGTATTGGTAAAAGTCATGCTGGTAATAGTCATGACAATCATGATAGTCGCAATTTCAACAAAAGCGATAATAAGAAGGATAGTAAGCACGCGAATGATAATAGCAATACAACAACTGCCTGTTGCTACTCCCATGCTCCCATTAATCAATTTGTATTGTTGACATTGTTACTGATGATGATCGTCATTGCTATCGTCAGTTATTGTTATTGTCAGACAGCCGTACAAATAGCAATGGTAGCGGTACCAGCAGCAAGAGCAATACTGGCATAGTAGCCCTGCGGCGTAGCCCCCGGCTTTCCGGTAGTGGTTTTTATCCCATGCTTGTGGAGCCTCCGAGACTCACTATCGAGGCCTTCCGTCTTGGCAGAGGATTTTCTGGACATCAACGGGGCGCCTCTAAATCCCAAGTGGCCTGGCGCATGATGGGGTGGTGTTGATGATGTTGAGCGTGTGATAGTGGCTATGCAGCACAATGGTACGACTGGGAGGGGATGCTAAAGACCCTAAACCCCAAATTCTAGGCCCTTAAGCCTTCAACCCTACGCTCTAAACCCTCGCGGGGAGGGGGAGAACCCTGGTACCAACAAGGCGAAGTACTGTGGTTCTCTGATCGAGGGTCCGTGGAAGGCAAGCTTCCGGGGCTCATGATCAAGAGGCTTTTGTGGATTGAGAGCTTAGAGCAGAATGTGGGTAATCACCGGGTAATCTGGGTGGGCTTCAGGTTCAAGGGTGCCGACCAGCCCGGTCCACACTCTCGTGTTGCTTGCGCTACAGAAATGATCCTTGAAACCTCAAGGACATTCTAAAGCCTCAGCTCAAACGCCCCTAAGCCCGTAACTTTACATTTTCAATCTCTCCAGCTAACAGGCCTCAGAGGCTAAACTCTACGCGCCCACAACCCTGAAACCCTAAACCTAAACCTCTACAGCCCCAAAGCCTTGAGCCCTTAAGCCCTAAACCTGAAAGCCTAGCCCCTAAGCCCTAAACCCTAGACCCTAAACCCTAAACTCTAAACCCTAAACCCTAAACCCCTAAACCCTAAACCCCTAAACCCTAAAGCCCAAGAATGAGGTCCCGCGTCTACCCCAAGGAGATGATCCAGCCCGGGGCTTGGGAGCTTCTGGTAACTTCGGGTTTCCGGGTTTAGCGCTGAAAGTTTCGGGCTTGGGGTCTGGGGGCTGGGTTTTCGGGCTTGGGGTCTAGGGTTTAGGTTTTCGGGCTTTTCGGGTTTAGGGTTTCGGGTTTAGGGTTTTCGGACTTAGGGTTTTCGGGTTTAGGGTTTTCGGACTTAGGGTTTTCGGGTTTAGGGTTTTCGGGCTTCGGGTTTTCGGGTCTAGCGTTTTCGGGTTTGCTGGGTTTTAATTTTAGGGCCTAGGGGTCTAGGAGTTAGTTTTCAGGGGAAATTATAGGTTTTGAAGTTTAGTTTAGGGTGTTCGAGGTTTAGATTGTGCAGTTTGGGGCTCAGCCTTTGGGCATGAAAGAGTCTTTGCAGCACGCCAAGTCCGTTCGGGTTATGTGGAGCTCACCTTTTCCGGTCCTTGAAACCTGACTTTTGGATTGTCCGATCAACAACCATGGCACCACCACCACCATCATCAACTCCATCACCACCATCGTCGCCATCGTGATGATCGTCATCATGGCCATCATCACCATGTTGACATGGTTATCCCTCATCTTAGCCCAAAGTTTTCACTTCAGTCACTGTATAGGTTCTCACCTCCCCGCATCTTTTCGATGCCAACATCTGCCCCAGGACTGGAATCAGTGCCATCGACACCATGAACTCCGTGGTGCGTGGGCAGAAGCTGCCGCTTTTCTCCGTCCGGAGCCACAGTCTTGAGTGCAAGATTCACAGAAGATTTCGTGGTGCAGGATTCGGGGCTCGGGTCCGGAGGCTTGGGCTTAGACTCTTCCTTCGCTTCATCAGCAGGTGTAGTTGCAGCAGTCGTCGTCGTCGTCGTCGTCGTCGTCGTAGTCGTAGTCGTAGTCGCCGTAGTAGTCCACAGTCGTAGTCGCAGTAGTACGGTTGATGTTACAGATCCTGCATTACCCATAGTAAGGAATATACCATAATTCCCATAGTTTAGGGTGCTGAAGGTAATGCAGGGTTTCTATCATCAACAGTAGTAGTANNGACGTAGAAGTAGAAGTAGAAGTAGTGTCATAGGCGATCATGACTGGACTGGCTGCAAGCTGGGATGTGCCTCAGGCTTCACCTTTGAACCCTCCAACCCAGAACCCGAAGTCCCCATGAAACCCGTAGAGGACCCGGGTAAAATCCTTGCAAAACCCGTCTAGAGCCTTATACTTATACCCGTTAAGCCCCGTGAAACTCATGTAGAGCACCACTACCCACTAAAACTCCCACTTATAGAGACCTTATCAAATCCTCACCGCCTAAACCCCCTCTACCTCGCAGCCCCCAAAAGCAACCCTAAACCCTAA